AGCGCATAGAGCCTGCTGTTGAGCGGGGATATGCGCTATACAAATGCTATCTATTATTATTATTATTATTATTAGTGCTTATTGCTTGCTATTTGGTGGTAAAGAACTGGAAGCAACCTAAGCCCCACCCAAATTTTGGTCCACCCACCGCCACAGAAACTGCCACACCACAGACGCTAGTGATTCAGCATAATTCTGAATGTAGCTTTTCACGAAAAGGAAACAAAACTTGAACTGACTTTTCCTATAAAAAAGAAGCAACAATAAAACTGTCGGGCATTTGTTACATTTAATTTATTTATCACAGGGACAAGAGATAGAACAATAAAGAGTACATTTACAACAGACCATTCTTTCTAGGGTCTCACTCATACATGCAGGATAGAGAGAGAGCGAACAGAGGATGCACTGACAATAAATATCCCTAAAACGGCTGACAGGATTAATCATAGCAATATTCTTAGCTTCAATATCTTAAGGGCTGAGGTAAAAACAAAAGCAACAAAAACTATTCACAATATTTTGTTTCCATTTTCAATACTGCTTTTATCATTTCTGTGAAAGGAAATGAGCACTATATACACTAGGTAGCACCATTTTTCTTTCACTTTAGAAATGAAAGTAGTCTAGGACAAGCGTGGGCAAACTAGGGCCCACAGGCCAAATGTGACTCTTCATAGGGTTTTGGGAGACCCAGAGACTTTCACTGAAGCTTTTAAAAAGGAAGTAAATAAATTTTGGTAAAAGTACTAAAAGTGGTCACACCTGTCAAGAAACTATAGAGCCAAGACTAGATTTTGTAGAGCAAATGAGACAAAAATTTGTTCACAATTTAACAAATTATATCATTTCATTAAAATGATGCCTGTGACATTTTGTATCGTCTGCTGTTTATGGCCTAATCAAAGTAGCCCCAGATCCAAACAGTTTTGCCCACCCCTGGACTTAAGTGTCAAAGTGCGCTGAAGCGGAAAGTTAGTAGCAGCAGTAGTAGTGTCATTAACTTCAAAGCTTTGTCCATGCTCACAGATGAAGTTTGTTGTGTGAGAACAATTGTTATATTATATACTATATGGCGCTTTTTATTGACCCGAAAGGCTTATTACACCATTTTTCAATTCCCATAATCTCAAACACACACACACACACACGCACAGCAGAAAGATTGCCTTGCACGTTGTCACAAAAATTACTTCCCAAACACACACAACATTAACTGACAAAGGCAACAGCAGATTGAAACAGACTATGTTTCTGACACAAGGCCAGCCATTTCTTGACATTAGCCGGGGGACTGGACGCTTGACCAGTCTGCTGCAGCACTGACCACAACACAATGTCAGCCAGGCTGGGCGAGGCTCCCGTCAGCCAATCCTGTTTGCCGAGGTTGGCATTGAGCGTCCTGACAGCCGCCGCTTTCTCTTTGGCATTGCCGGACACCAGCTGTAGCTGAGCCAGGTCTAGAAGCTCGTCTACCTGAGTGGCTTTGACCACGTCCTCTGAGTCCACCGCTGGCTGCAGCAGACGTGTGATGTACCGTGCAATGTTCACCTCACCCATGATGGTTGTTTGCTTCGTCGGGTCCACCATCAACTGGGGGCCGTTGACCACTGAAAAAGAAACAAAAACAAAAGCTTTGAAATTTAGAAACTAGGTCTATATGGACAACCAGAATTGAAAAAAAAAGTAACAAAAAACCAGCAACCCAAAAACACATAAATCTATGCCTGTAAAAGCAAACCGAAATCCAAAAGACCGACAACTTTGTGAGAAGCAAAATTTGAAAGGACTGCTTTGGGCCTCTTTCTTGGAGTACAGTTGAATCAGCTCTATCGGCCACATGTCTTAAACAATCACCTGTGCAAGCAACCACTTCCCACATCACCTCATCCCCTTCTCCTTACATTAAAACAAATATAAATATTATAATGACACGGCCCAAGATGTACAGCTGTCTAAGACAACCACTTTTCTCCTGAACATAGGATGGCCCTCTCCGACATTTTCAATTGTATCTATGTCTTAGAATGGCATATATGCAAAATGTACTGGTACCCAGTGTTTTCGGGTGATTTATTTTGTTTTGCTTTTAGTCTTCTGGTGTCTTTGCAAGCGTTACACATTAAGGCCAACGAGAAAAAAGGGTCACTGACTGACTAAACCAGCTTGCCGTGTCTCTGTCAAGTCATGAAGCCGTGGCTCAATGCCATACTCATTTTACTCAATTCTCTTTCCTTCTCTGAAGTTCTGATTAGCTCATTGGTACACAACGTATTTTTATTAAACCTAATCTTTAACACCTACTCTTAACCCCTAACAGAAGAATCCTCACCTTTCTTCCAGACCAGGGTAATGGCCACCTGGGCGTCAGACCTCTTGAGTCCACCATTGGATGACAGAAGACCACGCAGGTTGTCCGGCACACTGTCCGAGACGCTCGAGTGGACATACGTGGCTTTAAGTACAGCATAGCGTTCACACAACTGACCACAGAGCACCAGCAGGGACAGGGGTACACTTGATGGGTCGGCGCTGATTACCAGATCCAGCATTACTTGACCCTGGGAGACAGACGACCATATGGACATGTAGAGGGCAAAGAAGTAGGTAAAATTATCACACACAAAATGTTATGAATACAAGGAGGGTGCAAAAGTAAGTACATGTTTACAGTAACTATCAAATCATTGATAAGATACATAGTTAGTTTAAGATTGTTCGAGCAATGCTTGAATGCCAACAGCAAGCAGTTTGAATATCTGAGGAATAAAGACTGTGTTTGGTAATAGATGCAAATGCAAGCAATTCTTATGTCTGGACAATGAATGCAGTATGTATAGTACCCATTTTATTTTATCATCACAGACGGACTGGCCAGTACACTTTTTATTTTAAAAGACTTTTTGTTCACTGTTGATATTTTGTCTGCACAGGCTTATCTTTTGTCTCATGTCTTCATTCTTACTTTCTCCCTTTAAATTGCTTCCTTTCTTTTTCACTCTCTTTCTGTCTAAATCTTTCTCCTTGAACTATCTCACAGAGAAGAAAAGTTATCAGTATTCCATAAATACCTGTTCTAGTGGAGAAGCCACAGTACTGCTGGCGCCCAGTGGAGTGGTGGTTGTGGCTGCGACTGTGGTTGCTGTCTTGGGTGGTTCATCCTGCACGTTGTACTGCTGTTTGAGTTTGGAGACGGAGGAGCGAAGCTGTTCCAGCCTCTTCAACACATCCTCTTGCCGCCTCTCTAAGGTCGCCAGTGGGCTGTTACCGGAAGATGAACCCTAAGGGAGGAAACAAAGAGAACAGGATATAAATTCGAGTGGAAACTGAATCAAAAAAGTATATATGTATGCTTTGTGTGTTTTCTTTTTTGTTTCAGCAACAGTTTCATCACTCGCTATTATAGTATAGCGAATTGTTGAGAACTCGATAGCACTTTTCATACATTTGGAGCACTACAATAAGAATGTGACACGCCAAACTGGAACACTATTATTGTAACATGGACAAAAATGTATACAGAGAACGGGCAACCGAAGCAACATTAAATATTGAACAACGTTGTATTCTCTCTTACATCTCCTTTCCCCCTCTCCACTGGCAAAAACTTGCCTCACTCTACATCAGCAGCCCTAAAGTATGAGCAAACTTGTTATACATTTTCTGTCCTCCCCCTTCCTTGTTCTCTTCCACTTTTTGTGGTTTGAAAGCAAATGGAACCATGTTAACCAGTCCACTTCATGTTCTCTAAATCCTCGTTAGCATGAGCAGGCATACATTGTAACACACACACACACACGCAGAGAGAGA